CGCGGGAGCCCCGGGACAGGCGAGCCGCCGTCTCCTCCCTGCGGGGTGGCGGCCCCCGGGGCTGCCAGGCTGCGGCTCGGCCGCATTCCTGCCCAGGCAGAGCGGGTGGGGCTCCCGGGACACCGAGAGGGAACCCCGGACTGTGGACCCGACACCCCGCGCGGCTTAGTCTGCGCCGGCGGCCGCTCCCCAGGGCCTGCCTCCTCCTGGCGGCTCCCGGGGACTGGGTGTGCTCTGGGCCCCCCGATTCGGAGAGCAAACGGGGCTAGCCTTCGAGCACCTTTGGAGAAGGGTCATTCCTTGAGCCTCCGTCCTCCTGTTGGCCCCCCTCGTCCTTAACACTGACCCAGTGTCCAGCAGGTAATAGGTGGCAGGCCTTCGGATGGATGAAACCTTTAAAATATTAACCCTTCTTTTTTATTTTACAACTTTTACTTAAAGCAAAAACACCACGTCTCTTTTGCCTCGGGAATCGCTCAGATGCTGGGGTTGGCTGCGTTACCCAGAGCTCAGGGGAGGCCACATCCTGCCTACAGGCAAAGCTCCAAGGGGGGCTCCCAGCCCCGCCCGCCCCCTCGGGGATGGGTGTTTACCGCCCTCTCCCCTGGGGAGAAGTCAGCCGCAGCAGCTGTTCTTAAGGACCCACGTGGAAGCTTGGGTGGTGCGTGGCATTCTTCAGCCGCTGACCCACTCTCCTGGTGGGCACTGGTGTGTTTTCTCATCTCCATTCCAAGGTCGAGCTTGCTTCAACTTGGCCTTCACAGCCCTCCAATCTGGCCCTTTCCAGCCTCATCTAACACTTGCCCTGACCCCAGGCCAGACACCCGCTGGTGCTTCTGGTGTTGCTCCCGCCCCCTGGTGTGCACTTGCCCCTTACCTCATACAGCAAAGTCCTGCCAGCCCTTCAATGCCCAGCTCATGTCCCCTCTGGGAAGCCTTCCTTGATGCTTCCCAGAGCCTTGACAGAGTCCATGGCTTCGTCCCAGTCCCCCAGTGGCACTCTGTTCATGCCCCACCCCAACCCAGCCTGTGCCTGGAGCAAGGTGGGTGCTGAGGGAGTGTCTGTTGGGTGGGCAGGGACGGAAGAGCAGAGAAGGCAAGAGAACAGAGTGCTGTGTGGACACCTGGGAGAAGGCTGCAGTGGGAGTGTTGGAGAGGCGCCCACCCCCTCATGGTGGCTGCCTCAACCTGCAGCTCCCAAGACTGCCAGGGAGGTGCCCCCTGCAGCTGGGGAGTGTCTGGCAACCAGAGAGCTGGGGGCAGAGCAGGGCCCACTGTCACTATTTGCAGGCTGTTTCCAGAAGCTCTGGAGCAGCTAGTGCCCACATCTATGCACCCCTTCCATCCACTGACCTTGGTTGTCACCCCCAGTCCCTCCCCCAGTTTGGGCTTACTAAACTCTCTACCCAAGTCAGGAGCTGGACCCTTCAGGACCTTCTGCCTCTGCCTGTCCTGGTCCCCTTTGGCTTTTGCTTTTCCACCGTACACCCCCACTTGACACCTTGTCCTAGTGATATGATAGTGTCTCAGAGCCAACCTTCTAAAATGTTTACCTCCTTCTGTGTCCTGGAAGACATGCGGGTGGGGCTGCCACCCCCACACCCTGGCCCAGATGTGGATCCTTCTCTCAAATTAGGCAGAGAAAATGACAGATGCCCACTGAATCGGGAAGCACAAAGGGCGGCTGAGTTCAAACTCTGCACTGTTTATCTTTGCACTGAGCACAGAGGCCCAGATTCCAGCAAACTGGGTGAACACTGGCACCTCGTGTCTAGGATGTAACTCTCCTCAGGAGCCTCCTTGAGGAGTGAGACCACCCGATGCTTTGACCAGGCCTGGAAGACAACTAACTAAGCTCTAGGAACGCTGTGCTCTGGTTCGCCGAGTTTTCTGGATAGTGGAGGGCAATGTGGAGAACATTTGATGGTCATCTTACCAATGCAAGCCCGAGTTTGCAGATTCCTCCGGCTTGCCTGGGTGTTGATCTGACGGCCCCAGAGGCAGAGGAGGTGGGGGAAGTTGGACTGAACTTTTACTTTTAAAAAATCTGTGCCTGTAGCATTTTTTTGTTTTGGCCTTTTCTAGAGTGTTGCTGAGACAGTGACAGAGGGGGTGCCACACAACTGAGGGTTCTGGTTAGTTAAGCTCCAGTTCATTGAGGTTTTCTCACTATGTTGATGCAACAGCCCTGGGTCTGGTCACCGTTGCGATGCCGAGCTCGACTTTGTTTCCTCTTTTCAGCATTTCACAAACCTCAGCGATGGGAGGAGCAACACCCCCCTCCCCTTGGTGTGCAGATAAGGTCACAGGGCATGTGATGTGACTTCTGAGGGCACGCAGCACATTCATCATAGACCTGGGCTCCGAACCCAGACCTCTGGGCCCCTTGTCCAGTGCCCTTCCCTGGCATGCCTAGGACAAGGCACACGATCACAGTTGGGCCCACCAGCTGTAGGCTCAGAGCCACAACCTTCTGTGAGGGATGCATGAAACTGGCCTTTGATGGCTCTAACTGTGTTCTTCTCTGTCCTTGAAGAATCCGTCATCTCTCCCCAGTGCCCCGGCCTCTGGCTGCTCCCCAAGGTTATGCCCCCTGTCCTTTGGCGAAGGAGTGGAGTTTGACCCCTTACCACCGAAGGAAGTAAGGTAAATATAGCAGGCACAGATTTGATTTGATTTTAAAATGTTGCATTTTTTATTCCAGACATTAATGCTTGTTATTTTAAAATTTAGTTAATTGCAAAAATGTGACAAACTTATTAATAGTTTGGTGGGTATTCTTTTGGAATTCTTTTCTGCATTCTAAGCAATTAAATATATGAACATGCTTTCTAAAATAAAAATGTGATCATGTGACAAAATTCTGCAGCTCGTTTTTTGCACTTCATATATCATGGCCATCAGATGTTTAAAATTTTGTTAAATATTAATTCCTCTTCTGAGAAGCTGCTCCCCCTCCTTCCCCAACTCTATCCTCCTCTTGAAGGTGCTGTAACCTCATCTCATGTTATAAATTCACTGGGCAATACCAGTCTTCCTTGGGAATTATCTCTTCCAGGATTATCTGGGGGCAAAGATTCATCAGGAGGCTCAGTTAAAGATGGGTCTTTTTAGAGAAAGGAATTTTTCTTTTGGTAACTGGTGGTTTTATAGCTGGAGTTTCAGTCGCATTAACACAAAGGGCCCTTTGATGTGGAACAAAGAGAGGTTCATCAGCTTGGAGGTGAGCAGCTTAGGCTTTTATTCCTGTAAAGCTTGTATTTTGAACAAAATGGGGACATGACTTCGTGACATCAGCTTCCACCAGCTTCTTAACTACTTGCCCAGGGAGAGTAGACATTTGCATCCAGCTCGTAGAAAAGAATGCTGATTCTTCCAGGAGTAGGGGCTGGTTGGGGGCAGTGCTGTTCGATGTGTCTAAATTAGGAAATTTTTCCACAAAAAGTTTGTGGAAAAATTGGATTAAAAGATAGTATTAATCTTTCTAGTACCTTCATATGTGATACTCATACGTGTTTTAGTATCTATGAAGCTGCAATAATAATGCAGTAAAATGTATTCATGGTTTGCTTCCATAAAAAAAAATTAAATCCCAAATTACCAAAAAAGGACTTAAAAAAATAAAGCAGCTGAGGAACATGGATGTTAATTTATTTTAAGAAAATCAAGATTGTAATTGGCTTTCATTGTGAAGGTCAGATCCCTGAGTCCCTGGGTTTGGGGGTCTCCAAAACAATGGCCAAGGTGGACCAAGTACTAGGATTTGGTACAGCCAAGCTTTCAGAACCAGCATTCGGGTTTCTGGTTTCTCTCATCCTCTTGTTAAAGAGCTAACTGATCACTTGAGGGGACGGAGAAGCTGCTCGCCCCTAGTGGAGCTGTAGAACCCCCTCATCATATAGTATTACACTGACAGCACTTGCTATCTGCCTGTTTATTATTGGGCACCCTTTACAGAAAGAGGAACCTGAGGCTTGAGAAAGTTAAGTAACTTGACCAAGGTCTCATAGCTTAAGTAAGTGGGAGCAGAATCCAGGGGCTGCTGGCTGCAATGGGAAGCAGCGAGGGCAGGGGAAACCTTGGAATCCTGCACACCTACTCAGTGGCACCATGACCTTCATCTCTGCACCTCGGTATCCCTTCCCAGAATTGTTCGGAAGATTAAATTAGATCCAGGGGCTGGCCAGTTAGCTCCCTTGGTTAGACCATGGTGCTGATGACACCAAGGTCAAGGGTTCGGATCTCTGTACTGGCTAGCTGCCAAAAAAAAAAAAACCACAAAAATTAGAACCTGTAAGTAAAGTGCTTAGAATAGTAGCTGGCACAGAGGAAGTACTTCATAAACTCCGTGCTGCTTCTCACTGGAGTAGCTACATCTTAACATTTGCACCCCATGAGAGATTCAAGGTCACCCTGTGCCCCTAGTTCAGAGGAGTGGCCTTATGCTGCTTTGTGTCTCCTGCCCAGGTACACTTCCTCGGTCAAGTATGACTCAGAGCGGCACTTCATCGATGACGTGCAGCTGCCCCTGGGCCTGGCAGTGGCCTCCTGCAGCCAGACAGTCACCTGCATCCCCAATTGCACATGGCGCAACTATAAGGCTGAGGTGCGCTTTGAGCCCCGCCACAAGCCCACACGCTTCCTCAGCACCACCATCATCTACCCCAAGTACCCCAAGACCGTCTATACCACCACCCTGGATTACAACTGCCGCAAGACGTTGAGGAGGTTTCTGTCCAGCGTGGAGCTGGAAGCCACAGAGTTCCTGGGCAGCGGTTACCTCTCTGATGAATGCTGACTCGAGCAGGCTGGGTTGGGGCTGGACCAGCTCTTCCACTGCCCTGGGCGACCCTGGTCACTTCAGGCAACGCTGGCCCTGCATGTCATTCCAGCCCCAGAGGAGTCCAACCTAGAGATACCTCTCAGCCCAGCCTGGGGAAGGAAAAAAAGTCACTGCATCTTATAATTATTGAGATGTTTGGTTTTTTTGGTTTTTAATTTCCAAATGGTTTTAAAAAGGAGCATATTTCCTGGTTTGCTGCTTCATAGTTCCCCCAAACTCTCGATTCGATGAGAAATAGAAAGACCACTAGAGCAAAAGGAAGATGGAACAATTTGAAATAGGGGAGGATAGGAGAGCCTGTCTTCTGCTAGTCAGTTTTTCTGAAGAGCCTGGAAAAGTCCCTGGGACAGAAAGAGTGAGTTTTAAAAAATTTTGGCCATGGGTGTCTTCACTGCTACTAAAGTGGTGCTAATTCAGTAACTTGTGACGCCCATATGGGTTCAATCTGTGGAGAGCTGAGTTCCATTCCATTTGTTATTTCCACTTCCATTTGTGTTCCCTGTTAGCCAAAACTCTTGGAATTTTCTAAATCTTTTCCACAATATCAAAAAACCCCAAATCACAATATAAGATGGATGCCTTAAAAAAAAAAGGTTCACAGTGCTCTCAGCTGAGGTCAATGGAGGGCCGAGTCCGGGAGCAGTGGCTTCGGTTCCAGCCCCTTGCACCGGGTCGTTCCACGTGCAGGCTCTGGCAAAGCACCTTGTGCCCTCGGCATCAGGTGAACATCTCCACAGGCTCGTGTAATTCTCCTGAGTTTCAAAATACTTTCCCATTTTTTCATAAGACAAAATGTAGCTGAGGGCCTTTTTGAGAGAAATGGCCTCTTTAAAGAATGCTTTGGAATAACACTTTTTGAGACTTCACGAGGGGGGTTTCCAGTCAGGACAGGAACCGAAGGCCACTCCTAAGTCCGGCTGCCACCAGAAGGAGGTGGATTTAGATGTTTCTGGTGATCTGGTTCATCATCATGGGTGCCTGGATTGACTCATTCTCAGGACTTCAATGGTGTCAACAAATTGCAGAGAAATACTGCTGGCGCCTTAGGTCTGATTCAAAAAGCAAGGAAATCTGCCCTCCTTCTAGGTTAAGCTAAGGCAAATTCAGAATAGGGAGTGATGTCACAATTCAGGCTCCAAGACCTGGCCCCCACAGTGATGGCATGCATTTTTTCTATTGCCACTGTATAAGTGGAAGTGACAGTCGTGGAGTTGGCCATGAACAGATGTTCCCAAAGAAACTGTGTGCATTCAGCAGAACTGGCTGCGACAGAGGGACGACAGCGGGGCCCAGAGGCTGCTGTGGGCCAGGTGGCCACTGGGCCTGAGCCCCTGCTCACCTGCCTTCCACCACCACCTACCCTGCCCCAGCCCTTGCTTCTTAGAACCTCCTGCCCATTCCTGCAGTGTTTGAGTAAAGAAAGAGGCAGGTGGCTTTTTTTTCCTTCCAGTATCGGAAAGAGCAAACCATAGATATTTCTTTGAATACATCCAAATTGTCAAGTGCTCAAGGGTCTCAGAGCATTGTAAGCTCAGCCTCCTGCTGTGCCTCCGGGTGTCTGTGGATGGCTTCTAACTGTCCTGAAAGCTGAATTGATAGCTCTATGGGTTCCCTAGAGCCACAGCAGGGACTTTTGTCACAAGGAAAGCAGGTGCAATGATAATTGCCTTCATTGAAAGTCATTGGAACCTAGGGAGCCAAGTTGTCTGGTGTTTTCTTCAGACAACAATGCTTAGTTTGTTGTGCTCCTAACTGATGGGACACATCCCCTTGGACAGAGCCTGCAGTCGGCTTCCTAGTCCTGAGTTTGCCAGGGTGAAGCTCAGCAGGGACTCAGCAAAGGGGGCATTCTGGGACCCCAGAGTCTCCTTGGTCATATGTAGAGAGCAAATGCTTCCTGCGTTTGGAGGAGCAAATTACATGGCATTTATTGATGAAAATGGATTTTTCTACCCAATTTTGTAGTGTTGTCATTTAAGTGGTAAATGTAATTTTCTAATTGCGTTAGGAGAATTTCCCAAGACTTTGCTCTGCCCCAGTGGAGACACTTGGGGTGAGCTCAGAACAACATTGTGAACAGCATGGCAGGAGAGAGCAGCGTTCTGAGACGTCCTTATGAGACTCTTTTGTCTTAGGAGTATTGTGTTAAGTTTGGACAAATCATTCTAGACGTGGAGAGAATCTGAAATAGACCAGTAGAGTAAGTAGAAGTGCGCGATTGTGAATGTGTTATGCAAATGGAAAAGCAGGTTTTATTTTGTTAAGTTATTCACTAGGGAACCAACTGCAGTTCTTTCTAATCCTCTCTCTTTTTTTCCAAACCTGCGTTGCTGAGAGTTGCAGAAAGGAAGGCTGTGAAGACACATGCAACACTTCCGTGTGGACCAAATGACATCAGTCAATGAGGGGTTCAGGTTAGCTTGCAAGGTGGAAGCAATAATTTTTAAAACTCATTGATTAAAAAGAAACATTCCTAAGTGCATCTGGGAGATACAGTTTCGTTGTTAATTGAAAAGCTTTTTTTCAGGGCTGGCCAGTTAGCTCAGTTGTTTGGAACACAGGCTCAGAACACCACACGGTGTTCTCAGAACAGGTCATGGGTTCAGATCCCCGTACCGGCCAGCCACCAAAAAAACAAAAAGAAAAACCTTTTTTCTTATTCTCTTAAATTATGGCTTTTATGTAACAAGGATGATGTGTATTGTCAGAGAAAAGTGGTTTTCCTTTCAAATCACAGACCTGTAAAAAGACTTAATTTGAACTTTTTCACTTGACACATTTCCTGTTTCTAACCTTAAGAAATCCAGAATAGTATTTGACAAAAACTATGTTTTAAATTTATCTTTGCCATCTGTCCCACTCCATTCTGCTTTGTGACTTCTTCATTTAACAATAAATTATCTAAAAAATAAAACTTAGAGATGCTTTTCTTTTTTTAAGGAAAATTATAATGTTTGGTTAAGCAAAACGAGAAAAACAGCTCCTCATCTTGAGAAACTTTAAGACATTATTCTATGGAACAGTACAACTCTGCAGGTATGAGAAGATTTGCCAAAGGGCTCCTGGGCACAGACAGTTTTAAGGGAATCGGTGTCCAGTTCGATGTGTACTCTCCCTAACATTGATCTGCCCGAAAATGCACCTGCCAGTGGGGATGTCAAGCTGCTTCTCGTTTCCCACCTCTCCTTTCAAATTGCCTTTCCCCCACTTTGCATGAGAACTTCATGTCTTAGTCCGACCCATCTTAATTTTGTTGTGATACATGGCTTTGGGCTGGAAAAACCTGCAGGCATTAGGCAAAGGGGCAGGTAGAACCTTTGGTGCCTGGGCATCAGGAACCCACTGGTGGCTTCATGTCTGTGGGTATTCTACACATAATTCTGTTAAGGGTGGAGTACAGCAGTCCCCCCATGTGCAGGAAATACGTTCTAAGACCCCCAGTGGATGCTTGAAACCACACCAATTGCTGTTGGTCAGAACACGCTCGTTTCTGTTCAGTTTCCTGCTGGCATCCGTGTGTGACATTCCTTCTGTGTTAGTCCGTTTTTGTTGCTTATAAAAGAATACCTGAGACTGGGTAATTTATAAAGAAATAAAATTATTTCTTACAGTTTCAGAGGCTGGGGAGTCCAAGGTCCAGGGAACGCATCTGGGGAGGGCTTTCTTGTTCTTGGTGGTGACTACAGCGACGTAGGGTGTCACATGGCAAAATGGTGAGGAAGAGAGCGCTAACCTCCTCACTTGCTCCCCTTTTAAAGCCATCAGAATACGCCATTACTCCATGAATGGATCCACCCATTCACCAGGGCACAGTCCTCACAGTCTAATCACCTACAAAAGCCCTGCCTTTTGATGACCATAAGGGGACTTCCCACCCTCTTAACACTGTCACAGTGGGGATTAAGCTTCAATGAGTTTGGGGGAGACATTCAATCCACAGCACCTTCCCTCCAGGTGTAGGGTAGGGTACCTGTCACGTCAGGGGAGAAGGGGGCGCAAGAAGGTCAGAGAGATCTTCCTTCTGCTGTTTTCTCAGTTTCCTCGGGCTTGAAATACTCAGTATGCAAAGTGCTGTATTTTGGAGTAGCGTTTCCTGCACCCTATCAGTCCCTTTGGGCAAAGCAAAGAGAGGCTCAATAAGAAACATTGAAAGCAGAGGCCACTTATATCACTCAAGCATCGATTCATGGCCTTACATATTTGTCTTTTGGTTACAACTCAGAAGTAAATATGCCCCGGGGATGCATAGTATCATTTCTATAACTTTTTACAAATCTAGTCTCTTTTATTAAATTAAGTCTGATTTGGCTGATTGGGATAACCATGAGGGCTAATTTTGCCAAGTAGGTTATATGGTGTAGATTTGCCATAAAATGAATTGGCTAAACAGTGGTTCCAAGGTTTTGAGGGAAAAATATTTAAAGCACACAGTATTAAAGCTATAGTGTGTGTGTGTGTGTGTGTGTGTGTGTGTGTGTGTGTAGAGAGAGTCAAAAGTGTGTTGAAACTCATAAAGTTTCAATTTCCCCAACCTTTTTAACTACATCAGATTAAGCTCGTGTCCCCAAGAGAGAATGTAGTAGGTATAATTAATAATAGATAATCTTAGAAACGCTTTTTGGTATACTTTCCAGAAATTTAATAAGTGAATGACAGTATCGATTAGGTAACAAATCCTATTGCAAGGAATGCCTCTTTTTAAAATTAAATTCTGATAAATTTATTTCAGTACAATCACTATCAAGTGGTTTGTTTTTATCACTATTTCCCAAAGTACTTACTGAGGAATATAAATAAGATCAAATATAAATATGATCAAATAACTTTGGGAAATAAAAACTGAATAATGCTAAATATATTTATTGCAGGGCTTCTTGGAAACCTTGTTCTAATCAGGTTTTGCTGCCTAATAAGAACACAGAATCACAGTGTTATACAGCAATTCAGCATTTATTTCTTGCATGTAGATCTATAGGTCTGATAGGGCAGTTCTGCCCCAGGCTAGGTGCTGAGTTCAGATATGTTCCACATGGCCCTGAAGCAGGCTGGAGAGGTGAATTGGGGTACATTGTTCTCAGGATAGAAATCAAAGCTTCCAGAGGAGCAGGGAGAAACATTCAAGACTTCCTAAGGTCTGTGTTAGGAAGTGACACCTGTTACTTCCATGCACATTCTATTGGCCAAAGCAAGTCACGTGGCCGAACCCCACATCACAGGTCAGGGAACCATTCTTTTCCCGCCGGTGCGGGGAGAAGCAGTGAGTATTTGCTGTACGATAATCTACCCTAGCCTTTAACATGGTAGTGTGCAACGAGAATCTTCAAAAGGGGCTCTCTGGTATGCAGCATTTTCTAAACTCACTGGACCACAGAACCCATGAGCATTTCATAGAACTATTGTTTTTTGGAATGAACTTTAAGAAATGCTAGTTTATATGTATATCAATCAGTCCACTGAGGAAACCCCAAACCTAACTAGATATTTAATACAGAGAGTTGACCCCATAGATGCTGGAAAGCTAAAAGAGCAAACAGAGACACTGAAGGATCCCAGACTATTAGTAACTACAAGAAGCAGCGCCCACCCCTAATTCCCCTCTTAAGGCAATTTTTCTAGAAGCAAGAAAAAGACAAGCAAATTAAATCCAAAGTAAGAGGAAGGACAAAAATAATAAAGATAGGAGTATAAATCAATGAAATAGAAACAGACAAATACTTGTGAAAAAATTTAAAGCAAAATTTTGGTTCTTTGAAAACATTGGAAAAAATTGATAAGCCTAAGCTAAATTGATAAAATAGCACAAATTACCAATATTATGATTGAATGGAGATCCTACAGACATCAAATGTATAAGGTAATTTTGCAAACAACTTTATGTCAATAAACTAGACAACATAAATAAAATAAAAAATTCCTTTAAAAAACTTATCTTCCCAAACTGACAAAAGATGAAATAGAACATCCAAATATATATCCACACACAAAAAAACTCTACACACACACAAACTATATACATAAAATAATAGTGTAGATGTATCAAATAAATTGAATTTCTTTCTCAAAGAAAACTCCAGGTCTGCATGGTTTTCACTGGTGAGTTCTACCAAACATTCAAGGAAGAAATAACACCAGACTAACACAAACTTGTTCAGAAAACAGAGGAAGAAGAAATATTTTCCACCTTGTTCTGTAAGGCCAGCCTTACTGTGATTCCAAAACCTGACACAGACATTGAAAGAAAACCACAGACCAATATTATTCATTAATATAGACATAAAAGTCCTTAACAAAAGTAACCAAATCAAATTCAGTAATATGTAAAAAGATCAGGAATGCAGCGTTGATTTATCATTTAAAAATCAATTATTGTACACAATTCACCACGTTAACAGACTAAACCAGCAACAACAAAGAACATATGGTTATCTTGATAGATGCAGGGAAAACATCTGACAACCTTCATCACCCATTTATGATAAAAGCTCTCAGCAAACTAGGAATAGAAGGGAACAGTCCCAACACAGTAAAGGGAATCTATGAGAAACCTTCAGTGAACATCAGACTTCACGGTGAAAAGAGTGGACGTTCCCCTCTTGGTTTGGGAACAAGGCAGGTAATTCGCTCTCACCGCTCTGATTCAACGTTGTGCTGAACTGATCCATGCAACAGTGCGAGGAAACGAAAGATGTGCAGATTAGAAAGGAAGGAATGATACTTTCCCTATTTGCAGGTGACATAATCATTACAGAATATCATATTTAATGGTAAAATACTGAATGCTGTCCCCCTAAGATTGGGCAAAAATACCCACTTTGGCCAGTAAAATTAGGCAAGAAAAATAAAAGGTATAAATATTGGAAAGGCCTCAGGGTGGCCAAGGCTTTTTGGGGCAAGGGGAATCACTGCCTCTGATCCCAGGGATCCACCTTCCTTCAGGAAGCCCCAGGCTAACCCCCAGAATTGCCGAATTCCTGTCCGGAGTCTCTCAGGGACAGTGTGTGGGGCTGACAACAAGGTGGGCGTCCCGGTGGTTCTAGACTTGGGATGGCCAAACGGCAAGGTGAAGTTCAAAGTTTGAAACTGGATGATGGTTCAGTTACAGAAGGAGTGGTGATCAAGTACTGTGCAGTTGTGGTCCGTTTTCCTTTGATTGCCACCCTCGTATATGCACTTTTCAGAAACGTACATGGAATTATTCACCCAGAAAACCACGTTCAGGTAAGGGTGCTTCGAGAACAACTTCAGACAGAACAGGATGGGCCTGCTGTGGCTCGACAGCAATTCTACACTGACTTATACTGTTCAATCTGTTTACATCAAGCCTTGTCCCTGTCGAAGCAGCTGTGGACATCTTTTTTGTGGTGCCTGTATTACCATGTACTGGAGATATAGTTCATGGCGTGGGGCAATCAGTTGTCCAATCTGTAGACAAACGGTAACTTTACTCCTAACAGCATTTGGTGAAGACGATCAGTCTCAGGATGTTGTGTGATTGCATCAAGATATTAATGATGGCGACCAGAGATTCTCAGGGCACCCAGATCTGTTATGGAAAGAATTATGGATCGACCCACTTTACTGAGGCATGAATTCAGGGAAATGTTTTCAGCTGGGGGCCTTTTCTGTATGTTCCGCATTAGGATACTTCTTTGTTTAATGGGAGCTTTTTTCAATCTTATATCACCTCCAGTTTTTGTACCTGAAGCCTCGTATGGAATTCTAGACATTCTAGATAATTTCTTTGTCATCTTTTTCTTGCTTATCTACATTTCTATTATGTATCGAGAAGTGATAACCAAAAGGCTAAATAGGTGGGGAAAAATGAGTTTACCAGAAAGTCTGAGCTAATGTTTAAAAATCAAACAGAAGGACCCCGTGGGAGTATAAAGCATTTGAATATTATCTCACAAGTTT